CACACACACACACACACACACACACATATATATATATATGATGCACAATTAAGTCTTTCTGCACAATTACCCTTTCTATAGTATTAAAACATTTTTAAAGTGGAAAAAAAAGTGATTTCTTTTGTAAAGCTACTCAAAGTAGTATTCGTAAGTGGATTCTCACCTCCATAGGTCTGTTAATGGTTGTATACAAGAAGTTAATAGGATTTATCAGTGTTAAAATATCATTAAAATAGAGTGTGGACCTCAGAGGGAAGGCAGGGGAGAGTGGGAGGGTGGGAAGAAATCAACTAAAGAACTTGTATGTATACTAGTAGATGCATAACCCATGGACACAGACAATAGGGTGGTGAAGGCCTGGGGTGGGGGAGGGGAGGGGAGCTAGAAGGGGTCAATGGGGGGAAAAAAGAGGACATATGTAATACTTTCAACAATAAAGATTTTTAAAAAGTTTCTCAAACTCTATAAATGCATATGTTTTCCTTTAGCACATAGAATAAGTACCTCTACAGGTACTTTTATTCACACACACATATATATATATATGATGCACAATTAAGTCTTTCTGCACAATTACCCTTTCTATAGTATTAAAACATTTTTAAAGTGGACAAAAAAGTGATTTCTTTTGTAAAGCTACTCAAAGTAGTATTCGTAAGTGGATTCTCACCTCCATAGGTCTGTTAATGGTTGTATACAAGAAGTTAATAGGATTTATCAGTGTTAAAATATCATTAAAATAGAGTGTGGTAGAGAGGATCCCTTTAGAACTAAAAATAATAATTATATGGCAAATAATAAAATATATTGGTGTCACACAAGGACAGGAAGCAGAGATGGGACTCTTCACCAGGCCTTACTTACCTATATTCTTTAGAATATTTTTCAAATGGTGTCAGATGCTTCTATTATGGGGAAGCCTGAGCACTTGGGACTAAAGAAAGCCGCCAGTGTGGTTTAGCAATGCTGTTCTCTTGAGCTGAACACAGGCTTTTCGGTTTAATGTTTTGGAAGATGCTGCTGCCTCCATTGCCAGAACTAAGGCAATTGGGTATGTGGCTCAGTAACCCTAGAGAAAAAAAAACCCTGAATGGACCTCCAGCTACAACATTCAGACATCCAAACCCTAAAGTATCCTAAGATTAAATTATACTTTGAAGGAAAAAAGCTGACAATAGCTTTGTCACTGCATGCGAAGTTCCAGGTTTACTGTGGCCATGGAGTAATTGTCATGACGTGCCTTTGAAGTAGCTGGAATAAAGGAAAAATTACCCCATTTGACTGATAGAAAAACTGAGACAAGGGCAGCTTACTTGCTTGTGGTTACCCAGAGAATAGTTGGCTGAGACTCCAGGATTCTTGACTCCAAATTCATTGCTGTAACCACCAGACTGAAACCGGCTGCCAAAGGCTGTAATTTGGTCTTGAGGCTGTGGCCATAGTTTAGAACCACAGTAGTGAGGGAAACACACTTTAAGGAGGACCCTGAAAATCTTTCAAGGGAATTATGCTTCTTTATCTATGTTGATTATGCAACGATTGGTATAAGTGAGGGTTCTGGCCCCAACATGTTTGTGGCTTTGGGTTAGGCTGGGGTCCCTTTTGGGAAACTGGGAAGGTTTGCCTCAACCTGGAGCCCAAACTTTTAAACCAATTGTGTTGAGTTTATGATGAACAAATCAATGTATTAACATTATGCTTTTTATTTGGCAGAAGTCATCATATGGCTTGCCATGGATATAGCAAGATGGACCAGGGAGGAGAGGATTGGAGACTTGGAGACAGAGAAAGCATACTTCTTGTGGGCCACACAGTGATCGGGAAATACCCCAAGGTGAGTGTTCTGCAGGGATTTGAATGGGTGGGTATAGGCTTTGCATGGAGAAAATGATTAGTTCTTCCGGAGGCAGAGCATAGCAGAAGCGGGTTTTGTCTCTGGGCACTAGTCTGAAGTTCTAGAAGCAAACATTAAGCATCACGGGGATTGGGCTATACTTCTTTAGGGTTAAGGCTCAAAAACTGGGTTTCACTGGAAACATTCAAACTATTTTTGAGAGAGTAAAGCAATACTATTCCATTGAAACCAGTGGTACCAGGTAATAAGAATCATCGTGTTAATATAAATAATAACTATAGTGCATCTACTCTTTATTTAGTACCTACTATGGGCTGCGAGTTACGTATGCTTTTTATTTTTTTAAAATATATTTTATTGATTTTTTACAGAGAGGAAGGGAGAGGGATAGAGAGCCAGAAACATCGATGAGAGAGAAACATCGATCAGCTGCCTCCTGCAAATCCCCCACTGGGGATGTGCCCGCAACCAAGGTACATGCCCTTGACCGGAATCGAACCCGGGACCCTTCAGTCCGAAGGCCGACGCTCTATACACTGAGCCAAACCGGTTGTGGCACGTATGCTTTTTATATTTACCTTGTTCATTCTTTACGACAGCCCTGAAATATAGGTTTTACATTTTATAAATGTACAAACTGAGACTCAGACCCAGTCACAAGGATACATGGGATGTTGAAGGGATTTGAATCCAATACTCTAATCCCACTGCCCATGCTTTATGGGCAGAGTGATTGTCTCAAGTATCACAGCTCAGTCGGGGTTGTTGACTAACTAGTTAGTATAATTGTCAAGGTGGACTTATCATAAAAAGATATGTATTGTGATTTTTAAATCATTCTGACCAATAGTTTTTAAAGGTATCATTTGGCCTAGAAATAATTGACATAATTGATAGAGCAGACTGATTATTAAAAGATCATAGAATTGAATGAAAGTAGGATGACTGTCCTGGTCTGACAGGTATAATTTATTTACAAATAGTGTTCCCTCTCATTCTCAAAGGTATCCTGATTTGGGCAAAAAATTATATGGCACCCTCTGTATAAGAGCCTTGGAGTTCCATATTCTAAATTGGAACTGGCCACATTAACTATACCAATAGACTTAATTAGAATTGCAGGAATTGGTGTCTGACTACCTTTGAGTATAAAGGTAAAAATTATTCACCAAAAATTATTCATCATTTCTGAGGGAACAATTGTTCCACAAGTTGAAAGCTCTGTGTAGCCGAATAGATGGTAGCAACAAAGTGACAGCAGAAGTTAAGTTCAGTTCCTTTGATCAAATTTATCTATTTCTGTGCCAGCACCACATTAATGCAGTATATAATAAGTCTTTATATCTGATGGGGCAAGTTATCTCATCTTATTTTTCTTCTCCAGGAATATCTTAGCATTGACTGTTTGTTCTTTTAATATAAATTTTAGCATCACTCTGTTGAATCCTAGAAGCAACTTGTTCAGATTTGATTGAAATTGCATTGAATTTAAGGAAAAAATTGGGGGGAGAATTGATATCTTAATGATTTGGATTCCTTCTAATCAGGAATGTGGCATTTCCATTGATTTATTAGGTCTGAATGTCTTTCAATAAAGCTTTATGGGTTTCCCCAGAAAAATTTTGCATGTCTTTTGAGAAGTAGTTACGAATAAGGGCTAAGAGTATGGAATCTGGCACTGGAAGGACTGTGTTTGAATCCTGCCATTTACACAATTGTGTAAACTTATGTAACCTCTCTGTGCCTCAGTTTCTTCGTCTTTAAAATGGGGATAATAATTATGCTTACTTCAAAGAGCTATTGTTAATAGTAAATAAATTAATAGGTAAAGCAAATAGAAACATGTCTGAGAAATGATAAAAAATATATAAGTATTTGCTGCTAGTATTAGTTATCCCTAGGTTCCTTTGAAATGACATAGAATAACTTTTTTGGTAATTACATTTTTGTATTTCTGTATACAGTATAGACATGCAATTGAATTTTTACTTTTATATATTGATTTTAAATTTAATTCTGTGGTGGTCAGGTATCATTTGTTAGAAACTTCTTGATAATTATTCTATGGCCTATATTTGATCAGTTTTCATAAATATTTCATGAGTTCTTTAGAATATATATTTTTAAGTTACTAGATTCAGATTTCTCTACATGTTCGTTAAATCAAATTTATGAATTATGTTATCCAAATCATCTCTTTTAAGAAGTATGTTGGTTTCACTAGATCAGTGGATAAAATTGAGTTAGTAATATAGTAGATCTCTAAATAGTTTAAAATTTTTTAAATGCCTAGTGTAAATTATACAACCACTATGAGGCTTCTCAGCTAGATAAAACATTAAGTTCCTTTCCTTTTTACTGGGATTAGATCAAGTCCTTATGTTCAGAGTGGCAGTTATTCATATTTCTGATTAAAAAAAATAAAGTTATTGCACAACAAAGTGCAACTATATCTCTACTAGTTTTTTTTTCCTTTTCATCTCTTAGTCCTATCAGAGATGGAAAGAGGTGTGTCTAAATTCCCCACTCAGAGAAAGGATTTGTCCATTTCTCTCTATGGTTCTATCAACTTTAGATTTATATCATTTGAAGCTATTTTATTAGTTACTAGAGGTCCGGTGCACAGATTCGTGCACCGGTAGGGCCCCTCAGCCTGGCCTGCACCCTCTTGAAATCTTGGACCCCTAAGGGGATGTAGTAGTGCGTGAAGTGGCAGGTGGCGGGGGAGGAGCCCAGGCCGGGTTATGCTCCTGCTTATCCTGCTCATCCTGGCCCCACTGTGCCTGCTGCCACTGCAGTTCAGTAGCATGCTTCTGTGGAGGCGGGAGAGGCTCGCACCACTGCAGCTGCACTTGCCAGCCATGATCCCAGCGTCTGGTGCCCGTCAATCAGCTGAGCGACGCTCCCGCTGTGGGAGTGCACTGACCACCAGGGGGCAGCTCCTGTGTTGAGCATCTGCCCCCTGGTGGTCAGTGTGCATCATAGTAACCAGTCAAATGGTTGACTGGTCATTTAGGCTTTTATATATATAGATATGCATTTTTAGAACTGTTATATCTTCCTTGGGAGTTGAAACTTTTGTCATTATGTTGGGATGCTCTCTAGCCATAAGAATGTGTTGTTGTTGTTTTGTCTCATACTCTATCTTATTCTCTATTATTATGACTATTCCAACTCTTTTAATTAGTATTTGCATAGTGAAACATAGTTTTCTTTTTCTTATGCTTTCATTTTACATTGTTCCATGTCGTTAGGTATGTTTTTATTGTACTGCTTATAAGTAACATAGAGTTGGATTTTATTTATTTTTAAATATTTTTACTGATTTCAGAGAAGGGAGAGGGAGAGAAAGATAGAAACATCAATGATGAGAGAGAATCATTGATTGGCTGTCTCCTGCTTGCCCCCTACTGGGGATCGAGCCTGCAACCTGGGCATGTGCCCTGACTAGGAATCCAACCCAAAACCATTCGGTGCAGGAAACAATGTCCAACCAACTCAGGAGATGACACCCAACCAACTGAACCACAGTGGCGAGGGCCTACCAACCATTTTTTTCTTTCTTTATTGATTAAGGTATTACATATGTGTCCTTATCCCCCCCATTGTACATCCCCTCCCCCCGCACATGCCCTCACTTCCCTGGTGTCTGTGTCCACTACCAACCATTTTTAATGAAATTGCTGTATTGTTAGAAGTGGGTCAGAGACAGTTACACTGATGCAACTAGACACAGCTACCAGGCCTCTGCTAGATGGAATGGTACCTTTGTGCAAATTAGAAAAGAGCGGCCCCTTCAGGAGGATATGAGGTATTTATTTAGTGAGCAGAGAACATGGTGTGGAGAGTGGGGCTCAGGGTGGGTTTTAGTCACTTTGTTGCGACCTTAGCTGGGTGCTTTCCACCAATCAGAGCACCCCTGAAATGGTAAGACCTTTGGTGGCAGGGCTCAGTGTCAGGACCCGAGGCAGGGGGAGGGAGTCCAAGAGGGCTTTAGGACAACAGAGACTCTTCATGTTGTGCATTAGGGAAAGCCCATTGTGCTTTAGGAAACACCACCTTGTTGATAAGCTGGTCTCTTCAACCACACTTGTACACAGAGACTCTGCCCCATTTCTGGATCACTGTCTAACATAGAGACAACTTATGGGTCCTGTCTCCTAGGAACTGCATATGAATTTAACCTTTACTTTTTTTTACACGCTCTCTTTCTTAGAGGGCATGTGTTCACATAAGAACAAATTTTTACTGTTGAAAAACATCCACGTGGTTTAACCATTTGAATCAATAAAGAAATGAAAGGACTGTACATTAGAGATGTTCAGCATTCTTTATTTTGTAAAATATGTACATCAAGCATTCCTGGCCACCCAAGTGGGTGCTTAGATACTAACCAAACCCAGGGAAAAGACAGGCATTGAGATTTATACTGAGCCTTTTTTTTTTTTTTTAGTGGGTGTCCACTATGTGCCCAGGACTAGGCTGGCACCAATCATTGTATTTACAAAGGTACAAAGGAAGTATTAGCAAAATGCTAGCATGGCAATCCCTGGGCCCTGAAGCCGGGAGTGTTGCACTCCATTGAATCACACATAGCATCCTCTGATTTCACTTGGGATCCATCACCCTAAATAACCTAATTGAGTGTCATAATTGATTTGGGAGACTCATTTCCTTCCCTGGAAATCATTAAAGGTGGCCACGGCTTGCTTGAAGCAGCACTTTCTCTAATGGAATCCCCTGGACTAGTTTATGAGGAAGAAAGGCCCTGTCAGCAGGTGGCTGCTGAGCCCTGCTGGCCGGAGGCTTGCCCAGACCTCCCCTCTCCACAAAGGCGGCCAGTAGCTCCTCAGGCCTCCCCATAGGGCGCCTTTCAGAGTGCACAAAAAGGGCATATTGCCATTCCTAGTAGAAGCAGCCACCCTGGGCAAAGGGCTGGCCATTGACGGTCCTCTTGGCCATCACCCCAATTAGTGAGA